CAATATGCCTTAATTAACTGGATTTTTGTAATGGTAATATTATATTAAAGTTGATCACATTATATTCAGTCTTGCGTTGTGTTTTTATTTGTCTCTCCTTACATGTGACTGAGATATTAAGGTCAAGTCATGGGTCCCAGCAATTCTCACGTGTGGCATAGCGTAGCTTCTACGTCATCATGTTGATGCACTCCACTTGCTTTACTAGGGTGCATGATCATGAGCCTCTCGAACTAAGGTCTGTACCTATAACTCCTCGACACTTAAACTGTTGATATTTCAATCTCCCTTAGTTCAAGGGCTTCTTTTTCTGGACTTTTATTTGGTTGGATTTTTAAGGCCTTTTTATCAATATAGGCATTGGGCTCTTTATCTTTTCACATATGTGTCAAGCTTGTGGTAGGGAGAGAACATGTGTCGGCTGTCAAATATGTAGGGATTAGGTATCATATAGAACATTTAGACTATTATAGGGACCAGCCTACACATGCACCTTCCCTGCTACCCCTTGACAACAATTATATTTACAATAGTGAGTGGTATGGTAATAAACAGATTATTGTAAGATTTATATTAACAACTGAAACAGCGATTTAGTGGCATCTAGTGGTCGATTTGACACATTAAAGGGACACTCCAGGCACCCAGACCAAAATAAAGACAAAAATAAAGAATTCTGCCCATTGGAGTGGTCTGGGGGCCAACTCCCATCACCCTTAACTCTGCAAGGTAACTATTGCAGTTTTTATAAACTGCAGTAATTACCTTGAAGGGTTAAGTCCTCCTCCAGTGGTTGTCTATCAGACAGCCACTAGAGGGACTTCTGGGTTCTTAAAACCCAAAAAGTGTTTTAAAGGATGCTGGATGTTCTCACGTTATGCATGAGGACCTCCAGTGTCGCCGGGGTCCCCATAGGGATTCAGGTAAGTCACTGAAGGGGTTTTAACCCCTTCAACAACACGGGGGTGGGAGAGGGGCACTGCAGGATCCTTCAGTTCCAGGAAAACAGAGAGTCCATTTATCTTGTAATCTACTACTTCCCGAGATGTTACTATGTACTGTAAATACATACTATTTAGGCAGACCATATACTTTGTGTCAAACCTGACTTTTTGTTACCTAATTGCCTTGCATTTGGGTTCGAACAGTCCCCATAAGAAACCAGCCCTAAAGAATTAAATTAAAATAATTTCTAAATATATATTGAAAACTTTTATACCTTCATATTACGTTTATGATTGGAACTTTTTTTTCTTCTTTCAAATCAGTGGTTAGTTTGCTTCTTTATAGCAGACACACTATGAAAATTAGTATTGCTGATTAATTCTAATCCCCATAATTTTATTTTGCAATTCTTTATTTTTGTCGTGCATGATGATAACAAAGATTGCATAAGGTATACTTGTGAGGTTGCAATGAATGTACATGCCAGGGCAAAATAAGTATAAAGATACATCAGCACATTTTTAAAAGGAAAGAAAAGTGGGTAAAACGTGATGCAGAGTAAGATAGTCATTAAGACAGGTATCGTAAGGGCTGTATGCACCCAGATTAGCCTTGCTAGAATAGGCAGTGATAACATGATAAAACGAGAGCTAAACATTGTAAAACATAACAGAGTAGTTCCCATAAGAGGCCCCTCAATGGAAGTGTAGGAGAGCTATGAGACATAAATATCTTAGGGTATGCAGGCATAATAACAATATTCATGAGAGAGAGAGTAAACTTCTTTAAGTCCAGCACAATGTGAGGTACGATGTCACTGTTTTCCCATTGCATCAATCAGCCTATGCCCTCCATCGGCCAGACCCATTATGCTATTCTGCATGCCTCGTGGCAGATATGTAAGCGGGTGGGCTCTTGTTAGCAGTCGGTCTCCCCCTCTCATCTTGTCCCACGCTGACAGACCTTTGTTGATCTCTTGGGTGTTAGGGAGTAGCTTGTCTGGCTTATGCTTCAATGCCCACTGCTGTAGTCTTCTCCGTCTCTGGCGTCCCACTCGGGTGGTTGTGGGTGATGGGCGGCGGTTTAGACGCCGGTTCCCTTGATTGGGTAGATGGGTGGTTTCTGCCTTGAAAGAGTGGGAGGCTATGGTGGGGCAGGCTGATAGCCTATCTTCCAACTTCCTCCAGAATGCATCAAAGTGGTTGTTCAGTCGTGTGAGGATGTCTTGTGTAGCATCATTGGGGCCATCAACACATGCCATGTCTGCCATCCTAGGAAGGACTCCGTTTGCTTTCACTGGTGATGTCCCCCATCTCAGCATGATCGGGGTAACCTCACTTGGGTGGACCCGGATTATCCAGGAGGGGTTAGCAGGGTTTGCTCGTGCTGTAAGCAGCTTCAGGACACTTCCAGGTCAGGGAGCGGCGGCCTCCCTCGCCCGATACGTACCAGGTCGCAGTGTTGTTTGTGGTACCAGTTGGCCCCAATCGAGTCACATAACATTGCTCTTTGTGCCCTTTGTTGTGGGTGGCAAGTGGATGTTCAAAACTGCTACTTGTCTCGCTTGAATAACCCGTGGTTTGCCTGTTTTGCCAAGATTGTGTGGGAGCTTGTGGAAATCACATCTGTTTTAATTTAGGTTTGCTAAGAGCTTTGTAACGGAACTCCCCGTTCTCCGACCGAGTACCTTCCATTGATGGACGCTTCCTAGCCTGCGCCGAGGACCACAAGCACCACACCAGACACCACAACCACCGTAGCTTAACTGGAGTCTCGCCATCTTCTGTCCACCCTGGATCAGCTTCTGTCCTCCAGGACCGTGTGGGGAAGACCTCTCCTCCAGGACAGCGTATCAGGAACAAGCTCTTAAAAAAGCTAAGCGATTAAAGCTCAGAGGAGTATGCAGAGCATAGCAATCCCCAGTGAGAGTATAGCTGTCCCCTCCAATCACGAGACAAGACTACGTGATGAGGGTCAAGGAGAACTGTCTCCAATGAGCGTTTATTCCTGCTTATATACAACTTTCCCAGCAAGGTTACCACCCACGTGGACCTTGTGGAGCACTGGAATTGTAAATTTAACAACCAATAAAATAAAGGCATATGGATAAGCACACCCACTTTTTACAATGAGAATCCTCCCCTCTGCTTGGGAGATAATTGAGTTAATTACTGTATCAACTCTATCTCCAAGCTAAAAAAAACAAAAACATACGTTTATGCCATTTTTATAACCAGCATAATTTGGGGACAAACATATCCAAAATTCACTTGAATCGGTTAAGTGCTTCAGGAGACAGGTGGAAGTCATATTTTGACTGAGGAGGGACAAAACAGCCAGTTCCAACTAGTTTGGCAGTGTCCCTGGGACAACGCCTTGCTGGAGAACAACGGTACAGGGGGAGGGGAAGAGTCACACCTTCCCATGGATTCAAAGGGCAGAAAAAGTGTCACAAAAGATTCAGTATGTCCATACACTTTTTAAAGGGCCAGCACTAGTCCAAATAAAAGTCCATAAGACCAAGTAATGGTTTTAAAGGGCCATAGTCATGTGGCAGGAGGCTGGCAATCAGTCCGCTCCAGTGCCCAGTGGCGAGGGGCACCTCATCACAAGCTTAAACTCCTTGATTTAGTGGTGGATCATTTTGTTCCATTGTGACGAAAATGACCTCACCCCTGGTTTTTGGAGGGGCCTGTCTGCCAGCCTCCTGCCCAAAGACTATGGGCCCTACAAAAAGACATGTTAAAAAGTGAATTCCATGGGAAAATGTGCCTCTTAAAAAAAAAAAATGTGCACACTTTTTCCTGTACTATTGTTTCCCCAGAATGGCGTTGTCCCAGGGACACTGTCAGACCAGTTTAAACTGGCTGCTTTGTCCCTCCTCAATCTCCCATCAGCCCTTGCTATTGTCTGACCCCACCCTTCCTTGTACTATAGTGGTCTATTTATTTATTGTATGTAAATGAGGCTATTGGGGGTTTAAATGTGTGTATAAATCGTAAGTTCTTGCTTTGCATTAAAGAGTTCCTGTTTTACACTCAACATCTCTGTCCCATGTGTGTGTGGGGAGGAGGGGAAAGAGGCTGCAGCTACCATAGGGATTGCTATATCACTATACACCCCAGGGATTATAATCACTAAGCTCTTTTAAGAGCTGTTCCTGTTACTCTCTCTTGGAGGAGAGGTTCCCCCACTGGAAGTTGGATCCTGGGCTTGGGTCCATGGTGGGTGGAGGACAGCAAGTCCCAGCCAAGCTGTAACACTGGACATGGGGACTGCAGTGCTGACGGTGTCTGTTGGAGTCCTTGGGGAGCACCCATCGTACAGGAAGCTCCGTTACTGATAGATTAATAGTGATTTTCTATACCTGGTAAACATATACCTCCCTTCCTTTTTGGCTTACTCATGTATTTAAAACCCAGTCTAGGAAAGTATTTGCCAGATAAAGTATTTGATCATATTATTGTATAATGCAAAAATAATTTTGGTGGATATTTATAATAGTCTATGAGTGAAGTTCATCTTAACCACGTTATTTCTACCAAACCAAGAAATATTGACCTTTGTCCATTTTTGGATGTCTTTTAATATAATAAATTCTGTTATGTTTTTCACAAGAAATATTCACACAGACAATATGACAAACATAATAACATCTTAGAAAACACACATACAACACTAAAGTACATCTTCCCAAGTAATATTCTCCTTAAGTATGCACCACTGATCATATATATCTGCAGTCAGGCAGGAGGGGGGGGGGCTCATGTCTATGCACTTTTAGCATTACTGGATTTCATTCAACCATCCCTGCCAGAACATATATGTATTTTTGGGTCATTCAGGAAGGGGATACTTAAATCCCTTTCCATTTTAATCGGAGCCATTATTTGTTCTTTAATTAGTTCTCAAAAGAACCCTTTGTAATTTTTCCAATTCCGTTCAATTATTATTTTATAAGCAACAAAGCAATGGATTATAAAACACTTTCTTACGTGGCAATCTTGGCCAGTGCATATGCAATAGTTTGGATGTCTTTTTAATCTACCCTAAGACTTTTATTCATATAGTGCCAAAATTCTGCAGCGCTTTACAGTGGGTAGACAAAACGTGTAGTTTTAGCCAGACAAGTTGGACACACAGGAACAGAAGGGTTGAGGTCCTGCTCAATGAGCTTACATACTAGGAGTGTGGTAAAGTGACAAAAAAAAGTAAAATTAAATTTATATAGTTAAAGTCATACAGTCTTTCTATTTTATCTGTTGGGTTCAAAATAAAAATATCTTGGAAATTCCCAATCTAAAGAGAAAAGATTTTTGAGTAGTATCAACAATATTCTCAGGGATTGATATATTTATTATCTCAGATTTTGAATGGTTTATCTTATAACCTGCGGGCTTGCTAAAGTTCTCCAATTCTTTACCAATATTTGGAAGACTTAATTGAGGTTTAATGATATAAAAATAAAAAAAACACAAAATAAGAGGTTATCGTCAAAAGCCAAAATTTTGCCATCCAAGCCAGTGATACCTGGATTATTCTTTATAGCCCCTAATAAGGGTTCGAAAAAATAGACAATATTGGGGACTGGGAACAAGGGACATCCCTGACATGTACCATTCAACCTGACCTAAACCCATTAATGCAGACTTTTTTTGGGAATATGATATAGTGTACTTATCCATTTAATCATTAGATATCCTAAACTGATGTATTCAAAAGACTTTAAATAGGTAGGACCAATTCACCCCGTCAAATGCTCTCAGCATCTTGATAAAATTAAGATTTGACTTTTTATCTTTCCTTGATAAATCATGTTAATCACACTAATTGTTGCATCCCTTGCTTCCCTACCGGTTATAAATCCTACTTGTTCAATACCAATTAGGTCATTTAACTTTTTTTTAATTGTTCACTTAAAATTTTCAAAAATAGTCTTAATATCAACAATAAACAATGTAATAGGTCTGTAACTTTCATAATTCTATGTCTTTACCTACTTTGGGGATAAATGTAAAGGCTTGGCCTGCAGTTGTGGGAGGGGCATGTTCCCTCCTTAACCCCCTACTCACGTTCCTCCGTTCCGTACTTATTTTTTGCGATTCGCATGTCGCTATTTCCGGTAGCCATCTGCTCCCTTGTGGTTCTCCTTACCTGACCTGCCGTTTTCCATCGTCGGTTTCTTCCCGTCCACGGTCTTTTTCTGTGCGTATGCTCCGTGTGTCTCCTGTAATTTTCCCCCGGGGTTTCTGGGCGGGGGCTGAATACCCCCTCTCCCTCCAGAGGCTGTAACTGTCTCTTTACGTGCTCCTATTCAACAGGGGTGTTGTCGATGGGTCCTGCTTACCTGGCCGTGGTGGGGGAGTCTTTGCTGTGCTGTCCATCATGGGGATCGTGGTTGCGTGTCGGGCAATGGCGTGGTTTCGGTGAGTGCTGCTCCTTATTTCCCGTTTCATGTAGTTTCGGTCCACGGGCTAACTTCGCTGCAGAGTAGGGTATGGGTAGTTGGTTTTCCGTCTGGAGCTCTGCCTCCCGTCCCCCCCCCTTTCAGCCCTGGCTCTTGTGTAGTAAGCCTCGGCTACGACGCTGCTCACCTCCGCTGGCGGCTCAGCTTGCTGCTCGTCTCGTGCAACGCTTTTCACACAGCTTCACTCGCTACCTAAAATGTGCCCATGTGGCCGCCCCGCATGCCATCTCATGTAATTTAACTATTTATGTTCCATTGTTGTATTTTCCCCCTTTAGAAAAGAAAAAAAAAAAACACTTCACTTTATTAGATTAGAAATATTGCAGATAAATACACCGATGGTTTCCATGTTTTCCTTTAACTTCTGGATGGCTGTTTCCTTATTGTTCTATATAAACTGAGCCTCCATTGTGCTCATTGGGATTGTGTACGACGTGTTAGTGGGCGCTTAGCTGCACAGAGACACCTGTATCTCGCTCTATTTACTGTATGGTCACTGTCAGTTCAATGAGCTGCTCGCTTGTTCTCCACCATTGTTCTGCACTCACTTAAACAGTTGTCACTGTAGTGCCTCCCAACACCTCTAATCTGTCACCCTCATGCCGGACTTTGCAAGTGGGAATAAAAAAAAAAAAAGAAAGAAAAGTGCTGGGGGTGAGGAGTAGGTTAGGACACATTAGCTAATTTGAGATATGGAAATATTTACATATATAACTTAGAGGGATAATTTCTCCCATTATAGTTTCCTTGCGGTGTTGGTACTCCTGTGGGTTCTACATGCGTTTGTGCATTCTTTTTCATACTTGCGTACTCTATACAGCCTGATCACCTGGACTCCGACGGGCTCACTCTGCCCTCCAGTTACGGGCGACCCCACGATTCTTCCTCGTACCCTGCCCGCTCTTTCTTTTCACTCACACAGTACGTCCCCTCTCTCACTCGTTACCCTCCCCTATTAGTTAGCTGTTGCTGGCTGTCAGGGTCCTAGGTGTCCACTAGTTGTAATTCCCCCTGGCTTCTTCACCTTAGGTTAGTGGTCCTGCGAGGCCAACACCCATCCTCATACTCTGAGGTACTACGCCCCTCGGGCCAAATCATAGTCGCCTCGCATTGTGGCATAGGGAGGGCCTCACTTGCTACTCTCATTCTATCTTATGTTTAACTGTCACCGAGAGGCCAACACCCCGCCACAACGTTTCGGTGGCCACATTATCCCCTTGCGCCAACGCATAGATAGAGCCTCTCATGCCGCTTGGCATCTAGCAGGGCCTCACCTGTCACCAGACCTAGTTTTAGTTTCGCCTTTTGGCTTAGCTAGTATGCCGGCACTCCCACGCATGCTCACACACACACTGGGTCTCGTGACCCCCGTGGGGTTTACACCAACTCAGTTTCTGTTACCTACTGCCGGGCTTGCTCCTTTCAGCCATCCGTCTGGACACTGACGTGCTTGCTCTACTTTCGGTTGGCTCTGTGGTGTTTCCTCGTTCACACTCACGTCTTCGATACACATTCAGCAAATCTATCCTCTCACACTACCTTTCCTCCCCTCTTAGTTAGCTGTGGCTGGCTGTCAGGGTCCTAGGTGTCCACTAGTTGGTAATTCCCCCCCTGGCTTCTTCACCTTAGGTTAGTGGTCCCGCGAGGCCAACACCCATCCTCATACTCTGAGGTACTATGCCCCTTGGGCCAAATCATAGTTAGTCACCTCGCATAGTGGCATAGGGAGGGCCTCACCTGTCACTCCCATTCTTTCTATCTTATTTTTAACTGTCACCCAGAGGCCAACACACCCACAACGTTCAGTGGCCACGTTATCCCCTCGCGCCAACTCACAGCTCTAGCATGGCCTCACCTATCACCAAACCTAGTTTTTTTTAATTGCTTCGCCTTTTGGCATTAGCTAATATGCCAGCACGCACACACTTTCACACTCACGCGCACCTTGGGTCGCTTATGCGCTGTTTTATTCGTCTCTCGCAGGTCTCCGCTGCTAGGCGTGGTATTTTTCCGCCCGGGTTCTCTGGCTAGCTCTGGTTCTAATCGCCCTGTGGAGTTTTGGCTACTCCTACCTTCTTTTCAGGTCCTGGGAGCTTCCTCCCTTCGCTGCTGTTCTCGCGAGTCAACTTATTCCCCCCCTTCCCCCTCAGCAGCCTTCCGGGCAGCTGTACGGTCAGTGTCTGTCCGCCTCCACGGGTAATGCTGTTGCTAGAGGGTGCCACGAGTTCACTCTTCTCCGTTTTTCACCCCCTGGTTGTCTTCGCTGCTGTCGTCTATGGGGCGATGTCGGGTGGTAGTTTAGGGCAACTGGCACCTGCCGCTTTGGCTAGATCCAAACCGGACTTCCTGCACCTTTTTTTCGTATGATTGGTCCTGTGCCTCTTTTGCTCTTGCCAACGTGGCTCTGCCTACGGCCTCTCCCATTCCTGGCATTTCGGGGCATGATTGCGGGCTGCCAGCGTCATGAGCATCTTTCACGTCTGGCTCTGTTTTTTTCCTAGCACTCGCGGTGCATGTGTTAGGACCTTTCTTCCCCTTTGAGGCTCCTTTCTCACATATCCCGTTACTGTCTCTGTTGATATGTTGTCTGCAATTGATTTTTCGCTTCTTTTGCCACCTCTTACTTGCATCAACTCTACAACTTCACATGTTGTACAGGTTTCATTCACACGCAGTTTCATCTCCGCATACCAGATTACCACCACACTCAAGGTGTTTCAGGTTTCCGGGAATTTTCAATTTACAGATTTCCCATCAACGTCCAAGTATTTCAGTCACTATCAGACCTATTTCATGCCTGTTATCATGAACCGGGCATCAACCTTCAATGTAGGGCAATAACTGCTTGATCCAAGAAGGAATTTTTTCCCCTAGCTTGTTGCAAATTGGAAAGTGCTTCAAATTTGGTTTTTCGCCTTCTTTTGGATCAACAGTTTGTGTCACAAATGCGAGGTAGGCTGGACTTGGGGGATGCTAGTCTCTTTTTCAGCTAAGTAACTATGTAATGTAGTTGTCGAGCCACTATACCTGATTTCACAGTTTCTTGGGGGTCTCACATATTTCCCACAGCCACCTCGTCATAGTGCAGCATTGTCTCAGGAAGTCTCACCTATTCATGCAGACTATTGGTTACACTCTCTACCCCACACTTAGTTTTCCCTAGTTGGCCAACACGTTTAACAGACCTTACTTCCCCCTTGCCCAATTTAGAATGCCGGTTAAAGTGCCGGGCACCTAACTACTCGCTCGGCTTTTACTATACAGCTAGGCAATTAAGGTAGGTTATTGTTTTAAGTTTCTGGCAGGCATCTATTTGTGCCCTCTTATTACAGGCCTACCACGATGTCGGTTCCAGCACACCACAACCAACTTATTTCCCCCTTTCCTATACGGCCTTATTGCCCCTCACACAACTAAGAGTTGTGAATCCTGAGACTGCGGGGAAATTCGTGTCTATTTCTAAAGCTTCGTAGAATTTGAATACACAAGGAGCTAGTGTATCTGCAAACAATTTAGACCAGGACTTTTACCATTTGGATAGTTTTTTTATAGTATTTGTTATTTCTTACAGGGTAATAGGTTGATCTAATTTTTTTATTGTATCTTTATCTAGTCTAGCTTTCAAGTGAGCCTTTAAATATTAGTCTCTTTATTCCCTTTATATTTATATTATTAGCAGGTAAATTGTATAGTTACTTGTAATATTGTTAAAATATTTAGACTATTTGTTCTGTTAAAATTCGATCCCTTTTAATTTTTATATAATTTGTGATCTCTCAGTAATCTAGATAGAAGTTTTGTCAGATTTATTTCTAAATTCTCAGCCAATTCTATGGGGAAGCTTGGCGATTGGCCTAGACCACCACTTCTGATGTCAGTCTAGATCAGAGGCAGAAGCAGCAACTTGAATACAAGTAAGATTACTATATTTAGGAGGCAAGGGGGACCAGATTGTTTTAACACTATAGGGTCAGGAATACAAGTTTGTGTTCCTGGCCCTATAGTATTCCTTTAATTATTTTTGCTTGGCATCACTATTTCATAACAAAAAAAAAATTATTTTATTTTTATTTAAACTCTAGCTTTTACAAAAGGAAAAAAAAATTTAAGCTTTTTTACTTTAACAATTCTTTCCCTTTTAGTAGTCAATATGGAATATAGGGATTACCATCAATTTGGTTATGCATTATAGACGCTCAGTGTAAACCCTCATAATAAAAATAAAATAAATTCATTTTTCATTTTTATTAATCATACAAAAAATGGTTTTAAACTTTGAATACATACAAGAAAAGTGGTTACACAGTATATGCACTGCACAAAGTACTTCTGTTATTTTTAATATTTTCACTGGCTAAACCTGAAGTTTAGAATATTAAGTTGGTTAACTGTGCTTGCACAAATTAGGCCTTAGTTGTCTGTTCCACACAATGCCAGCAGAATGGTTTCATAGTCTCCTTTTACTTTTTCATCCTGAAAACAGAAAAAAAAAATATAAAAGAAAATTGAAAAAAAATAAATTTAAAATGGATTGTTACACTACAAAATCTGATATTCCACCAGGTTTGAGTTGTTTTCCCAGTTAATATGTCCAAATCTATGTTAACACTAGGTCACAATTTGCCAGCTACATTGAGCAAAAACACACTTTTAGAACTTTTTTTTTTTTTTAAATGTCAGTTTGTCTCTAAAATCTTAACAAAGATTATCAAGGTGCACAGCTTGACAAAATCTGAACATCCCATGATTCTCTAAGTGATGTTCAGTATGACAGAATGTAGCCAACATTAAGTTGCCATCAGGATTTTGATGTTTATGGCCTACAATATCTATAGGTTTCTACCATTACATGGCTTACAGAGAACTGAAGTTTTAGTTCAAAAGCAACATTTGAAATGTCTAAGTCAGTGGTTCCCAAACCAGTCCTCCTGGCCCACCAACAGTCCAGGATTTATGTATTTCCCGGTTTTATTCCAATGGAGATACTAACAAAACCTGGACTGTTGGTGGGTCTTGATGACTGGTTTGGGAAATGCTGGTCTAAGTTAATGTGTCACTTACCAAAATAGCCTGACGCAGAGATTTTCCATAGAGACGAGCATAATGCGCTTTAATTTCTTTAAGGTCGATTTCAGATCGAGAAACAAGGAGCCTAATTAAGGCCTTGTGTCGTGTTCCAGATCCCTGGGCAAAAGCAAAATTAAAAAAAAATTTTTTTAAATAAATAAACTTTTAAATGAATTCAAACTTTCACAAGAAGTCATGCACCTTTAATAATTGGCCATTCCTTTAGAGGATTACTAAACAGCACAAGGAACCTTTTGGTATCAACTGCCTGGTTTGTGTCAAGTCATTTGAGCAGCTTGACTAAATCTCTAAACTGAGCACCTAAAGCCCATTCCCTATTTGGTAATTTGGATAATTGGTACATGATCATTGCTATCCATTCTTGGATGGCATTTATAGGTTTAGAGTGCTGGACTAACATAAGAAAACTCTGGAAAGTAACAGGACAGCCTTGTTTTTTGTCAAACCACCCAGACATTATCTGAGTGGGCAGTAGTTAAGTTAAAATATTAACAGAACATTGAATCAAGATCACTTTTGGCAAGATACATCTTGTCAAAAAAATTAAAATTTACACAACGGCCCCCTCCCCTCAAACCTTATAGAAACATGGTAACCCATATTAAAATGAAATTACAAACCTTCATTGCAAGGTAGAATCTTTCAGCAAAATAAGCAGGTATACTCCCAACACATTTAGCTACAAATTGAGAAGTCACAGTATTAACATAACATTCCACATGCACAGCATAAATATCAGGCATACGTGTGTAATTATAAATAGGAAAAAAAATAAAAACTTCACACAAATTCAGACCATATTTTGCAGTTATGCATTAAATAGATCATTCACATAAGTGATTTAAGTGGTAAAGCAACCTTTTTAGAATAAGTTGTTAATTGAGGGAGAGGGTTGGGGTTAGTTGGAAGTTAGCATTTTTAATGTGTTATTACCTCAGAGACAGGATTTAGACAATCAAAGTAAAAGGGAACTAAAAGCCATAACTACTACAGCTCATTGCAGTTGCTATGGTGCTATGAGGATTTTTTTTTTTTTTATTAAAGTGAGAGTTGTCAGGAATTCAAAGCAAGTTTAAAAGGACACTATAGCCACCAGAACAACTCCAGCTTAATTCATTTCTAATGAATATAGTCATTCCTTGCAGGCATTTTCATGCAAACAAGGTCTTAGAAAAAAATGCAGTGTTTACATTGCTCCTAGGGACACCTCCAGTGGCAATGCTGCACAGTACGCAGCACTGTTTAGCATGGAGTCGCCAAATTTTCCTCATTGAGATTTATTGATTCAATGCATATCTATGGGTTGCCAATTGCACTCCTCCCACCTTCTCCCTCCCCCCCCCAAAAACCAAAACACCCCACGCAGATTTTGGCCTGTGAAATTGGGTTGGCTAAAAACCTGTAATTCTGATAATGTCACCAAGGAGGCGAATTGGGGTGGGGCCAATGCACCCATGTGGTGCTGGAAATAAGGAGATTTTTAACCCCTTCTAAGGGGGTGCCACCTAAATGATGGCTTTAACACTATAGAGTCAGGAATTCAGGTTTGTGTTCCTGACCCTATAGTTTTCCCTTTAAGGACAATGTACCTCTCCTCTCCGTCGGGCCTTAAACTTTAAATTCACTTTGAAATCCTGACAATTCTCATCTTCGTGAATAGCCTTTTTTGAGTCCCATCCCTTGTTTTCGGTCAAGTTTTTCTTAGCTGTTTGAGGGGAGGGAGTTCTATCACACAAAGCTCAGCCCCTAGGCAGCCACGCATAATGTATTTTATACTGTTTTCTAGCCAATTAAAGCTTTAAGGCAGCATGTCACCATCTGAGGATTTTGCAAAACCCCATCCATTAATTCTACCTACCAGTAACATCCCTCGTATGAACAAACATCTTGTTCGTCCTCGACAGCTACTGATGCTTCAGAAAACAGACATCACTGCTGTACTCTTGCACATGTATTGATATGCAATATCCTATAAGTTCCTCCATAGACAGGTGCAATTTTTTGCAGTAGTCACTGGTGAAAGCTTGTGGATTGACACTTTATGACGGTAGTTCTGCCCAGAGTCAAGAAGTGTCGGGCATTGGGAAAAATTCCTACTTTGTGTTTTTGGTTACAAAATTGGAGAGAAAAAATAAAAAAATAAAAAAATAAAAAAAAACACCAGCAAGGCAGTAGCAAAGAGTTGAAGAGGAAGAGATTGGAAAACGGTAAGTATGGCTTGACAGTGCAGCTTTAAGGAAAGCTTTGGGCAACAAATTTACTTTAATTTTACTGAAGTCACTCACAAATGGACACTAGACAGTTTTCGATATCTCCTTTCAACTCCAGATCAAGAGCTTTTTTTACATCATTCTTGCTGTATCTTGAATATCTTCGGAATACTGAAATACACAACATGCAGAACCAATATGAAGGTCACTACTCTAACACCCATTAGAAAGCAAAATAGACATTTAAATATTTAAAACGAAAATTAGTAATCTTAAGCTAAATTTTGTACAAAAAAAAAAAAAAAATTCTTTACACTGAATACACAGCTTAGGGGACAACCTGCTTAATAGTTTAAGGTTAGAAGTAGCATCAACATTTGATGCAGTCAGTAAGCAACACCAAAAAGCAGTCAGTACAAAGCAGTTCTAGCCACTTGACAAAATTGATATGCTGCTGCTTTGCTTTCCCCACAGATCCAAGTTAAAACGTGTTGCTGTAATAGGAGCCAGAAGTTCTCCGTAAACTTGAAGATATACATATGTGTTTGTGTTTTTAAGAGCCAGCAGAATATGAATTTAACATCTGTAGTTGAAACACAAGGCTTGTGAAATTTAAGTGCCCAATATGAAACAACCAAATGAGAATAAAGTACATGTGGGGGCTATAATTGGTGTATATATGATTTAATACACCCAAAAAGGAAATGGGTGCATTAAAGCAATATTTACACCAATTCTACACAGGGGTTTAATAATTTAAGTCAGGGAAGGGTGAAATGTCAACAAGGAAATGGTCAAGTGTGGGGGGGGGTGGAAATATTGATACAAATAAGCAAATTTCTGAAGTTTATTGTACCTTCTCGAAGATGTGGAAAGCTCCTTGAAGTTAGAATATTAATGAATGTTGAGACATCTGTTCCTTTTCTCTTCTCTCCAGCTTCATACAAAGCCTACAAACCCCAAAATGCATTCTTTAGTTTAGATCATAAATGCTCATGTTGGGTTATCAGAGTGAAAGCATACAAGAATTATAGGTTATGCTACGTTTACCCTAGCATCGTTGTCAGCTTGCTCGTCATTAACTGTAGTTGCTTCACTGCGTTCACCCTAAGAAAATTAAGTTGTATTGTAAGCAATACTTTCACAAATTAACAAAGACAAATCAAAACACATCTAGAGAAATACAGCAGAGGTCAACATACAACCTTTACCTTTATGAGTGCAAGAAGAGCCTTTTGGAAGTCTCCAGAGGTGTCTGATGCAACATCTTTTGCTAGATCCTTTTTGAATTCTGATTAAAAGATGGTGTCGAGAGAAGAGGGTGGGTGAAGGAATAAGGTTTAAAAAACAAAACAAAAAAAAAAACACATTGGCAGTGATCATCTAATAACTTTACTAGTTAACACAGTGGTGAAGAAGTAGGGGATACATTTTGTTTATAAAGGGGGAGGTGTCAGCAATTAGAAATCCAACATACCATTTACTAATTGTGCAACAGTAAAGTAGTCCAGGCACTCAAGGTCTTCATACATCAGATTTATTGGAAAACATGACAGATACAGCAACGTTTCTCAAGCTTGATAAAGATCCCTGAAGGGATCAAAACATTGCGGTTTCTGTAATGTTTTTCCTATAAATCTGCTGATATATTAAGATCTTGAGTGCCTGGATTACTTTGTTGTTACTATATGCATTACGCGTTTGCCAGCCCTAGCTACAGTGCACCAAGGTCTACAGGTGATAAGAGTGTGGATTTTTTTTTGCAATCAGTAAGATTTACTAATCGTGTGTCACAAAACCAGATCAAATGCTGGTGCTGCACTGAGAATGAAGCAGCGCCTGAAGCAACAACTCAAGACACCCTGTATCTCCATGGGCCAATAGGATTAATTACCATATTGGCACTTCCATCATGTTCTCAAAGAGAACAGCTTACCTTCTTTGTAAACTTTGTTAATTTCTCGGATCTCCCGATTATTCCTTGACACCAGAATTTCTACTAAAGTTTCCTCATCTGTCCCAAGACCCTGAAAGATATGGATTAAAATATTGAATTAAAAAAAAAAAGAGAAAATTGAAACCAAAAGATATGGAATGTATAAATGAAAAGAGGATATCAAGAGTGCTCCTACTTTCAAACAGGTGTCCCCTCAGGCCTTGCTATGACATTAGTAGTGTACTCTACCCATTAGAAATTCATGCAGTCTGGGATTGAGCAAATCTGCACAGACCAGTCTCTCCACCAGAAGAATGTTTTAACCTAGAAACCTAGTTAACCATCACACTCAATTACAAAGCATTGGGACAAATGCTCATTAGTTCTGAGACAAGCCTAGATGCATTCATGTAGCACTATTGCTATGGGTTAAATCATACATAAACACTGATCAGCCACAATATTGAAACCACATGCCCAATATCGTTTAGGTACCCATCATGCTGCCAAAACAGCTGTGTCGAGACATTGACTCCACAAGACCTCTGAACCCATATTGTGGTATCAGGCACCAAAACGTTAGCAGCAGTTCCTTTAGTCCTGCAAGTTGCAAGGTTGGGCCTCCACGGATCAGTTTTTTGTTCCAGCACATCCCACAGATGCACAATCGGATTGAGACCTGGGGAATTTAGAGGCCAAGGCAACACCTTGAACACTGTCATGTTCCTCAAAAATATTCCTTAACAATTTTGCAGGGTGTATTATCCTGCTGAAAGGTTACAGCCATCAGCAAGGTGTATGTAGTCTGCAACAGTCTCTAGGTAGGTTGTACATGTCAATGTAACATCCACATGATTGCCAGGACCCAAGGTTTCCCAGAGCATACGCTGGCCTGCAGTCTTTACATCATGCATCCCAATGTCATCTCTTCCCCAGGTAAATGATGCACACATCTGGCCATCCACCTGATCTAAGAGAAACTGATTATCCCAGGCAACCCTCCATCTCTGACACTCATTCCCATTGAAGGTCCCTGTGGTGACTAGAGGTCATCATGGGCATTCTGAATATGGAACTGCATAGCGGCAGACCAATCAAACTGATTAACTTGTGTTCCATCATGGCCAGCATTAATGGTTTCAGCAGTTTAAGCTACAGTAGTGCTTCTATGGGATTGGAAGAGATGGGCTAGCCATTTGCTCACCACATGCACCAATGAGGCTTGGGCTCACAAGACCCAAACGCTGGTTCACAGATTGTCCTTCCTAATCGTGTAACAGCAGAGTAGTCCAGGCACTCAAAGTCTTCATACATCAGATTTATTGGAAAATATGACAGATACAGCAATGTTTCTCAAGCTTGGTAGGTACACACCACTGCATACCAGAAACACATTTTGGAGATGCTCTGACCCAGTAGTCTGGCCATTATGATTTTACTTGTGTCAGAGTGCCTTAGATCTTTTTGCTGGTCCATTATTCTTGCTTCCAACACATTAAATTCAAGAACCAACTGTTCACTTGCTGCCTAATATACCCCCATCCCTTGAAAGGTGCCATTGCAACAATATAATCAAGGTTTTTAACTACACCTGTCAGTGGTTGCAATGTTGTGGCTTATCAGTTTAGGAGAACACCAACTAGCAAAGAAGGAGGAGGTTTACAAACATTTCCATCCTAAAAAGGAGCTCATTTGATTGCAGGAGGGAAAAGGTTTAATTTTGAGAATTAAATGTTTATATATAATGTAAACATGATTTATTGAAAAAATATTTGCCACTTATTTATATAAATCTTTTTCCGTGAGGAAAGATTACATTTGATAAAATTTTGCACACGCATTATCAAAATCAAGACATACATATATAGAAACCAATATTGAATACCTTGGTTGCACCCTTCAACTCATGAGCATCAAATTGAGCTGGTGTCTTCATCATACCGAGCACAACTTCTTCCAGATGGCTCTTAAGAGCTTTCTTTAAAGCTTCTTCTAGAGGCTATATAAAGGAAGACATTAAATATGGAATGATGTTCTAAAATAAGCAAACAGTGCAATGACAGTTCATTGACACATTATGGTTAAAAAGCCAAAAAATTGTTTCAATAAGATAGTGCTTCTTAAAAGGGCCCCTGCAACAGTTTTACTGCTGGTTTGGCTACCAATATCTAGTGGGAGTAAGACAGTGAGAGTAGCCATGGACAGCCAATTTGAAATGAAGGCAAGAGGTTGTGTGTGCTTGGGTCAGGGTGTTTGCCTGCATGGAATGATTGTAAGGGTGTGAACCATTAAGTGTGATTGAATGAATGTGTGTGCGCATGTCACTGATTGTATTTCGGCACAAAGGACAATTGTAATAAAAATAAAAAAGTAATTTTAAAGGAACACTATAATGTTAGGAATTTGTATTCAGAGTACTCTACATAGCTTCAATGAATATATATTTAAAAAAAAAAAAAAAAATTTAATAGATTACATCTTTCAAGCTCCAATACATCCTCTGCATTGCTGGTCTCCCTACCTTCCGCAAGGTTGATGGGGCAGTGCTGATCCACTCCAGTTTTCCTCATACAGAAGCATTGGTGACCTGATGTGCATGTGTGCAAGTGCTATACATATCAAACTAAATGTGGCATTGCAGCAGAGGCACATCTAGTGGCTGTCAGTGTGACAGCCACTAGTGGTGTGTTTAACTCTTCAAGGTAAGGCAATATTTTATCTTGTGGCATTAAACAGATAGGACCACTGCACAGAGACCACTTTATGAAGACAAATTGACTGGGTGACTGTAGTGGTCCTTTAAAGTGTGTGAGTATTATACATGTAGATTATATAATATTTATATGTACGGTGAACATATGTATAAGCAGAATATAATTTTAGCCAAAAAATCTACACACCACACATGCATATTTCTCAACTGCCAGGCAGTGAGTCTGGGACAACGAGCAGACAATCTCAGCCCATCACTGACAGCCCGGCTAAAATCACTCATTTCTATAATGAACCATACAATATGAGCTATGCTTTAACAAGGTTATTCACCAAAGTGAAAATGGAAAATTAGCCAATCTCCAATTCAGACATTTTTGCAGTTTGGCTATTTTTACCTAAATATAAAATTTACTTTGAATTCCTGACAATTTTATGTGATGTTGTGACGTCAGAAACCATTGCACTGGCCCTGGCTGTCGCACTAATGAGAATAGCCACCCCTATCAAAGAGAGCAATACAAACTCACTTTGTCCTACTACAATATACATAGACTTTGGAGCACTGGGCACTTAAAGCATTGCTAAGAGGAAACATTGCTATGACACGGCTGTTTTGTTTGGCAGAAGATCCTACATAACCTGGGAATTTACTGCATAAAAAAAAAAAAAAAAAAAATACATACAAAATGCATTTTTATATTTTACTGTACAATAAATAAGGAGTTAACTTTGATTGTCACTTTAAGTCAATATGGGATGAAATACTAGATGTGCCTCAGGATAGGATGGACAGAATAATATTTTAGCCTTGTTGAGGGAGTTTTAAAAATAACTTAATGGATGTACACTGGACATGCCACTGCAATTAAATGTATCCCTGCATGCATATATTAAAAGCAGTACTTTACAGGTAGACATATGCACTTTTTTTTTTACCAGTTTGAAACAGGTTTTACAGTTACCTTTCCAGTCGCTTGTTGATAGGCAGCTTTGATTTGCTGACGCTCTCCATTTGTTCTTTTAGTTAATATATCAATGATTGTTCCCTCATCAACACCTGTTTAAAGGTAACAAGACCTATGTTTAACTTTGGAAATAAAACTTTATACTGAGAGGAATAAGGTACTTGCACTTTTATATAGAGTAGTAAATAAAGTTTTCCCAATGAGTGACCAGTAAGTAACATTTGGCAGATGATGTGGGTAAAAAGAACAGGATCCCATATATAGTGTATATAGGACTACCATGGAATGTCAAAATAGTGCTGGATAACACTAGCTGCAAGATTTGTTTTTGCAGTTCAACAATGTTGTAACCTACATTTTATGCCACTATGGAGGGAGTCCATAGGAACTCAAAGCATCTTTCATGGTATAAACTGGTAAGACTGAGCGATGAGAATCATCTTTCAACAGCAAGAATGATTGTTCGTCCAAGAAATATACAAGATTGTTAGATTAAAGGGTGCAGGCAATAAAGATCTACACAAGATTAAAAAAATAAATAAATTATGGACTCAAAATTAGTTGCCTTGGGAATGCTGAAACAATTATCGAAGGTGCAAAATAATGCAACAAACTTTCCAGTTTCATTCAAAAGGATCACTTTGCTTTCTGCAACTTTTGTACTAGAAAATTGCATTTATATGGTTTAAGGGACACTATAGTCACCAGAATACATTAAAGGACCACTCTAGGCACCCAGACAACTTCAGCTTAATGAAGTGGTCTGGGTGCCTGGTCCAGCTAGGGTTAACCCATTTTTTAATAAACATAGCAGTTTCAGAGAAACTGCTATGTTTATTAATGGGTTAAGCCTTCCCCAATTCCTCTAGTGGCTGTCTCATTGACAGCCACTAGAGGCGCTTTATGCTTCTCACTGTGATTTTCACAGTGAGAGCACTCCAGCGTCCATAGGAAAGCATTGTAAATGCTTTCCTATGAACCGCTGAATGCGCAGCTCTTGCGTCGCATTCAGCGGCGGGGCGTAACGGAGGAGGAGAGGAAGAGGAGAGGAGGCAGAGAGCTCTCCGCCCAGCGCTGGAAAAAGGTAAGTTTTTACCCCTTTCCCCCTTCCAGAGCCGGGCGGGAGGGGGACCCTGAGGGTGGGGGCACCCTCAGGGCACTATAGTGCCAGGAAAACGAGTATGTTTTCCTGGCACTATAGTGGTCCTTTAAGCTGTAGCGGTTCTTGTTTCTACAGCCCATCCCTGCAGGCTTTTCTCCACACTAACTGAAGATGCTGAACGCTTCCTAAAGAGATTCATTGATTCAATGAATCTATGAGGAGATGATTGGCACAGTATAGCCTCCCAATGCTTTCCTGTTGGAAAGCATTGGATTGGCTGAGATAATCAAGACTGATGATCTCTGACAGAGTTGGGGCCAAATGAGGAGAGACCAGCACTGCAATGGAAATTCCACTATGAAGGGGGCCATAGAACTAGATAGCTAGTCCAACACAATATTAGGAATACATGCTTGTACACAATTCATTATTCTAAGTGGAAACACACTGACCATTTAAATGTTTTGTAACTTTTTTTTTTATTTTTTATTTTTTTAAATATCCTCCCCGACTCTACATGGTTCCAAATTTGACAGAGTTAATATTCCTTTTAACCCTCTTCACACTATCATGTTCCTACCACTACCCTCTTAAGTGCCACTCACCACAATCTGAGAACCAAATTCTTATAAATCATGGCCTGCTTTGTTGTGGTAATATATCTGCTGAGTGTTGGAGAATGTTGAAATCAAGCCTCCCACCTGACCCCACAAAAGTATAAAACCCTACAATTGCAATACTACCAAACTAAGATTATGTCCGAATTCCTCTTACTCATGTTACTTGCCCTTGCAAATGATGTAGAGTCTAACCCTGGTCAGACAGACAGACCGACCTACCTACCTATATCTCGATGTACTGCAAGCATTGTGCTTACATTACAAGCCCAAAATCATTGTGTTCTCTGAATCATGGCTAACCCCTAAGATATCTGACTGCCATTGCAATACATGGGTATTCATGCCATAGAAATTGCAGAGCAAAATGGAGGCAGCATTCTAATTTATGTTGACAATTCCATAAAGTTCACCCCTTACAAAACTTTAGCTCTCCTGCCACCCTTGTTTTCCTTTCTGACAATTGATATCCCATGCAGTAAATTAATCATTGTTGCAGGAATCTACCACCCACCTAGCTCCCCAGTGCATTCCCCATCTGACATAACCCATAGCTCAAAAACACAAAAAGTGAGCTGTTAGTCTTTGGAGATTTTAATCTTGATTGGCTGAATTCTAAAAATAGTTCTTGCTTGCAGTTTAAGATTTTGACAGGGTCAGATGGGACTTTCTGGGAAACACATTGAAATCATATGGCATAGTAGGAACAGCTTATGATGCCATTATGGCACTATATACAGTTCCTTCGGCAAGGACTATTGGCCCTGGGATAGAGGCAGATTGGTTTACTATTAAAAACGGAACCAGGCAAGGATGTCCTCTTTCCCCGTTACATTATGTTTTAACTATTGAGCCTCTTGCAGAAGATATAAGACAAAACGGAAAGATTGAGGGGTTTTGGCTTAATAATTTAGAACATAAGATTAATCTATATGCGGATGATGTCATGCTTATGATGCAGAATCCTAGATCATCACTGCCGGAATTGATAAGAATACTAGACCATTATAGTGTATTCTCAAATTATAAATTAAATATTATTAAGACCACAATAATGACAACTAATTTATCTAGGGAAGATAAAGACTTTATTAAAATATCCTATGATTTTGTCTGGGTTAAGGAATATATCTCATTTCTTGGCATAAAAACAACAAGAGACATAAATAGAGTTATTGAAGTTAATTTTCTCCCTCTAATAAAAAATACTAATAAAATATTAAAAGAATGGGCTGGCAGGGAGATCTCTTGGATAGGCCGCATAAATACTATTCGATCATATATTCTGCCTAAATGGAATTATCTCTTTAGAATGATACCTATACAAGTTCCCAATCCTTGGTTAAAAATGATACAGTCAGCTTTTTCTAAATTTATTTGGAAAGGTAAAAAACCAAGAATAAGCTTACAGTTAATATCTAAGAAAAGAAAGGATGGAGGCCTTGCTGCCCCAAATATAATTGAATATCATGATACATGTATGTTGGCCCATACTGTTAATACATTAAGTATAGATCAAAAAGATCAATCTTGGCATCATATAGAGCAATCACTAGTAGAGACAAGCAGCCTATCCTCCCTGTTTTGGACAACTAGGAGGGATTTAAAAAAAAAATAATTTGGTTCATCCAGAAAATTCGACAATTATAGACAGTATATGGAGTTTCTGGTATAAATTTAAGAAAAATTATAAAATAGAATATTCCCTTTCCTACCCATGGAGGTGATTAATAATAATATTGACGATAATATTAGAGGTTGGATACAAAAAGGTATTACGCATATTCAACAAATTATAGATATAAAGGATCTTAAGTCATTTAGCCAGTTACAGGTAGAATTCGGGATTGAAAGTAAGGAGGTATTCACATATTTAAGAGTTAAGTTTTATTTGACGAAATTCTTGGATATTCAGCTTAATAAAAATATAAGTAACATTAAGAAGATTATGGAAACATATAGAACTAAAGGTCATATTTCTAGATGTTATGAATTTTTAGAGCTATCCCAGAAGGCCCCCCTTTGGAAATCTAAGAGTAAGTGGGAAAAAGATTTACAAATAGTAATTTCCGAACAAGATATGATAAACGCGATAGAGAAAGTTAATAAATCGGTACACTGCTTGAATATAGTAGAAAATTTTTATAAACTCCTAAATAGATGGTATATGGTCCCAGAAAAACTGGCTAAAATGTATTTAGATCAGAGCCCTTTTTGTTGGCGATGTGAAGATGGGAAAGGAGATTATCTCCACATTTGGTGGCATTGTACAGTCTTAAGTAAAATATGGAAGGAGGCATACAAGCAGATTTATAACTCATGTCAGTTAAATATACCCTTTACACCACAAAGTTTTTTGTTACATCTGGGATGGCCTTCTATGTCTCCTGAGAAACAAATGTTGATAATACATATTTTAATGGCAGTAAAGTTAGCGGTGGCTAGAAACTGGAAAAGTAAAAAAGAAATACAGTGGAGTGAAATTAAAACACAGGTAATATACCAATGTAAGATGGAAAAGGGAATAATTTTAGGCAACTCTGTAGGCTTGAAGAAATACAGTAAATGGGAAATAATGGTTGATAACTTTATTACTAACTATTAGAACTTATAATTCTGAGGATATGAGCTTCCCCGAATGTGAGATGGATTCTCGAGGAACTTTAGTAATAACGTACCTTATGTGAAGGATGGGAAAATTGGACAGTGTAGGTTTGGTTCCCCGGGATTGTATGTATGTGCGAATGGAATGTTTTAGGTTTTTTTCTTACCCACCTCTTTTTGCAATTTATGTGAATTATAGATATGAATATTTAAATTCGTTTTATAATGGAAATGTTGTTAATATATGGAAACATATTAGAAATGTAAATGTTGCAATAGAGGAATTGATTGCACCATGTAAATTGTGAAATTTTGAAAAAATAAAAATATATATAAATAAAAAAATAGTTCTTGCTTGCAGTTTAAGATTTTGCAGCCAATTCAATTAATCTCCTCCACAACTCACATTAACATTAAAAGCCTTAACCATACCCTACTTGATTGGATTCTCTCCACTTCTATTGATCGAATGCAGGAGGCAGGTGTTCTCCCGAACAGTTTCAGTGTTCTCCCGAACAGTTTTGCACTGCGTGCGCAAACTAAAAGCTATTAAATCCTCTCCCAAGATTAAAAATCACCAGGTCCTTTTATATTTAAAAAATATAAAAAAAAAATAAATAAAAGGTAATCCTTTCTAAAAGACACATGAACCTCCCATGGCACTGTGCAGTTGAATTATTTCAGTCAGAACTGCTACAAGTTTGGAATTAGCATGCCCCGTTGTGTAAGGGGCACATATGAATTGGATCACAGTTAACCTCATTCAAATATGCCAGTTTCAGGACTCATTGTGGTCAAGGTTCAAGGGTACTGGCTCTATGAACGATCACTGAGCATATAGACAATGGTGAAATATATGCACAAAACAAAATCTGAATATTTCTCTAGAAACTTTTGGAAAATCATAAATAAATTACAAACTCCCCCAATCTACTCCCCACCCTCCACTGTCAAAGTGGACAACCAAACCCTGCAACTTCTCTTAGATGTAGCAAATGCGTTAAACAATTGTCAGATGCTCCACTACCCTGATTGCCAAGCAAATAAATTAGTCATCATGAAACTACAAATGTTGATCAGGCCCCACTAAATTTGCAAAGATCCAATATAGACAAGTTCAGTTTTAGACTTACTTATTACTGTCATTAAGAGACACCTTCAGAATCTAAAAATGAAAAACCAGTCTGGACCTGATTTAATCCCAGCAATGCTGTTGAAGCTCAGTGCGTCGGCAATTGCTTAACCAGTCACAGCAATGAACAAACCCAAACTTTGTTAGACTGCAACAGTAGTACCTATGCATAAAAATAGGCGACATTACTTTGGTTTCTAACCACTGCCCCAATATCATACTCCCAGTATTGTCAAAAATCTTAGAAACATATGTCCATACACAACTATGAGTACTACCAACAATCTAACTATCTGACCCCAAATCAATCGGGTTTTTGCCTGAATCACTCTACTACACCTGCTCTTACAAGTTTGTAATGGCATAGAACAAGGAGACCTAACAAGCTACCTTCCATGATTTTTCAAAGGCCTTTCACACAGACCATGACATTCTACAAAAAAAATAAAATAAATTATAATATAAATATATATATACACACACACACACACACACACACACACACACACACATATATACACACACACACACGAGATTGTCTGCTAGCCTGGTTTCGATCATATGTAATCGGATCGATCACAATATGATTCCATTTCTGACAGACTCCCTACCTCTCCCAATCACATGTGGTATTCCTCAAGGTTCCATTCTCAGCCCCCTACTAGTCACATTATTTATAAATGATCTACAAATCCTCAAATGTAGACACATACGCAGACGTCACAGTAATCTATGCAAGCAAATCCGATCTACTGCAGCTTGAGGCTGTGCTTCAAGACTAGTTCACAGAAGTAGAAAAGTGGATCACATAACAGTCAGAATGATCTTTGTAACAGTACCTAAATTACACAAATCCTACCTTTCCATCAAAAGAAAATCAAATCACACACTGACCGCAATTCACCCTTTCAAATACTTGGATATGTTAGACCCAAAACCATCTTTTGGCCTCCACATAGAACAGGACACCCTAAAACCTGTACATAGGGGGTACCGTTTTACTCGGGAGACTTCGCTGGACACAAATACTAGGGTTTCAAAACAGTAAAACCCATCACAACGATGATAGTTTGTGTTCCGTGGAGTCTCGCAAGTACACACCTTCCCCCACCCCCATGTACAGATTTTATGGAGTTTTCAAGAGTTACTGAGTCAAATACAAGGCATGCATTTCCTTTTTTCCCCACATTGAAGTTTGACAGATGGTAATGTTGCCTTTGAGACCGTATAGTAGCCAGGAATGAAAATTACCCCCATGATGGCATACCATTTGCTAAGGTAGACAACCCATGGTATTGCAAATGGGGTATGTTCAGTCTGTTCAGTAGCCACAAACACTGGCCAAAATTGGCCTTTATATTTGTGTGTGAAAAATGCAAAACACAAATATGAACACTCATTTTGGCCAGTGTTTGGGACTCAGTGGCTACAAAAACAAAAAAAAAACTGCACATAACCCAGGGTATTCAATATGGGGTGTCTACTTTAAAAAGATATGTACATGTGAGGTGTGATTCAGAGATGACAGATAACAGTGTTACAATGTCACTATTGATACATTTTAAAAATATATATTTTGAAATAGCAATGTCCTACTTTTAGCCCTATAACTTGCAAAAACCATTGGGTATTTTTTAACTAGTACAAAATTTAGAAACTGTTTAGCATGGGTGTTTGACGGTCAAAGTTCAAAAAAGTGTGTTTAAATTTGGTATCTATAGAAAGACCATTTAATGGCGAGAAAAACTGTAAATATGTGTGGGTACAGTAAAGGAGTAAGGAAAATTACAGCTAAACACAAACACTGCAGAAATTTAAAAATGGTCCTTAACAGTAAGTGACAGTCTGGTCACTAAGAGGTTAAAGGGACACTATAGTCACCAGAACAACTACAGCTTATTGAGTTTGTTCTGGTGAGTAGAATCATTACCTTCAGGCTTTTTGCTGTAAACACTGTCTTTTCAGAGAAAATGCAGGGTTTACATTACAGCTAGTGATAACTTAACTGGACACTACTTAGATGGCTGCTAGAGATCCATCCTGGGTCATGGCTGCCTAAAATGCATCCAAACATGCAGACACTGAACTTTCCTCATATAGATTCATTGGCTCAATTCATCTCTATGAAGAGATGGTGATTGGCCAGGGCTGTGTTTGAATCATGCAGACTCTGCCCCTGATCTTCCTCTTTGTCAGTCTCAGTCAATCCTGTGGGGAAGCATGGTGATTGGATCAGGCTACCACTTCTGGGTTTTTTCTGAGTCACAGCTTCAGGCTTGAATGCAGTAAGATTTGTACTATATTTATGGAGGCATGAGGGGCCCAGGGGGGCTATAGGGTCCAGAACAAATGTTTGTTTTCCCAACCCTATAGTGATCCTTTAAACAAAAACTTTAAAAATCGATGTCAGTCTGCTCTCCCTCATGTAAAATGTATTCGTTTTAGATAAGCAAGCAGGTGACAGACATTTTTTATAGCACATTGAATGTAAGTCAATTTACGGATTAAATAAAGACACCGGGGATATCATGCAATTTCTTACCTTTTGCTTTGATGGCTTTTTCTAGTTCCGCTGCATCTGCTGCTGCATTAAATTTAGGATCTGCATTTACCTGACCTCCAGTCTCCTGGGCCTGTGAAGAATATGTCATAAGATCAAAGAAAAGGGTTTGTTAAAGGGTCAAAATTCAGTATGGCCATTTCGACTGTAAACCATGACCATCTGAGTTAAATATCATTCCAATATAATAATGTGTAGACATACTATGATGAATGGAAACATGGGATCAATGGTCTAAATTTTCATAATATCAAATCATACCCAACAGTCCTGGATCTGACTTTGATTTTGGGAGTCTTTTTCCCCCACCATCTTTTGCCATTTCCCAGTGTCCCACTTCTGGTGATGCCAGGGAAACATCCCCTATGGCCATATTGCTCTAGCAACAAAGATTTGCACAATGCAAAATGTAGTTAGGGCACTACCATGCCCAGAGTACATCTGGTAAGCCTCCGCTCCAGGAAGATCGTGCACAAGTCAGCCAGCCTGGAGTCACTTTGTTCCAAGATGACATGCTCCTTTTGGGAAGCTCACTCTACCATTTGGACATTGCCAGCAATGCAAGTAGCAGTAAAATACCCTCTATCCTGACTCAGTTCCTCCCAGTTGAGCAACTGGTGACACCCAAAATGGACAATCTCACTTTGCAAGGGGATTGGCAGCTTTTAGAACAGGCAGATCTTTTTGGTGTGAATGTACACCAGACAAACTGAATGCAAATGCACAGCACATGTGCTTATTATAGATTTGACTTCAGTTAGCTGGTTCCCCTGATTTGGAATAATTGAATATACAATAGAATATAAAATAAACCAGCCTGGGATGGCAGGATGGGACCCCAACATCAGGGCACTCCTACATAATCTGACCAGGTTTATGGACTTACGGTACATGGAGGATGTCCTCCTTGTTCAGTGAAGTTGGCTTGTGCGAGGAAAGCTTGCATAAAAGACATGATGAGTCAGGATTCCTAAAAGGAAATAAAAGATAATTCCCAATTTGTTTCTTTGGTAACATTTCCCCCAATGTCTTCTTTGCATAAGAACTTCTCTATATAATGTACTGAAGCAAATGTAGCAACTGCACCCTCTACAAAACCTTTAGTTACATGCTGCTAGGTTGGATAACACACTATAGCTGTATTTTAAAGCTGTGATTATCATATCTTCAACTACTTTAAAGTAGACATAGGCAGCCATACATTTATTAAAGCAATTATCTGAGACAGCAAGTCATCAAGCTGCACGACAGATGGAACAGAGGATGCCCAGTCAAGGATTTGGACATTTTGATCAATTTTCACAAAAAAAAAAAAAAAAAAAGCCACACTGGACTTCCTCATGCATTGCATGAAGACATCGACAGCTTTCAAATTCCCTATAGAAAAGCATTGATCCAATGCTTTTCTATGGGACAAATCTAATGCGCATGTGGCACTTGTCATGAATGCACATAAGGTTAGCCCGTGGGCAAGATGTTCTGGAAGGAACCAAGCAAACCCGATATGGTAAGAGAAAAGAGGGTATTTATACCCCTGATATTGATACCTTAGAGAGGGTTCAGAGAAGGGCTACTAAACTGGTTCATGGATTGCGGGATAAAACTTACCAGGAAAGGTTAAAGGATCTTAACATGTATAGCTTGGAGGAAAGACGAGACAGGGGGGATATGATAGAAACATTTAAATATATAAAGGGAATCAACACAGTAAAGGAGGAGACTATATTTAAAAGAAGAAAAACTACCACAACAAGAGGACATAGTCTTAAATTAGAGGGACAAAGGTTTAAAAATAATATCAGGAAGTATTACTTTACTGAGAGGGTAGTGGATGCATGGAATAGCCTTCCAGCTGAAGTGGTAGAGGTTAACACAGTAAAGGAGTTTAAGCATGCATGGGATAGGCATAAGGCTATCCTAACTATAAGATAAGGCTAGGGACTAATGAAAGTTTTTAGAAAATTGGGCAGACTAGATGGGCCGAATGGTTCTTATCTGCCGTCACATTCTATGTTTCTATGTTTCTATGTTTATTCACCAGAGTGGGGGTGGAAGACCTTAAAGGGACACTATAGTCATATGCACAACTTCAGCTTAATGTCGTTCTGGTGAGTAATAGTTCCCGCCAGGCATTTTGATGCAAACACTGCCTTTTCAGAGAAAATGCAGTGTCTACATTGCCCGATTTTAGCCCCACCCCTTGCGGATTTTAGCCAATCCAATGCTTTCCCCAGGGTAAATCACTGGATTGGCTAAAAATTTGCAATTTTGAGGATATCACCAAGGGGGACAAGGCCAGCACTGCAGACCATGGAGAGATGAAAATAAGGTGAGTTACAACCCGTTCTAAGTGGGTGGGGGGTTAGCCACCTAAATGGTGGTTTTTCACTATAGGGTCAGGAATACATGTTTGTATTCTAATACTTACTATACTATTTCAATACACACTGTGGGCTCCAATAATCCGAATTGTCACTAGAACATTATAGCAGCAGGAATAATATTTTTAGTCCTAAAGCTATAGTTTTCCTTTACCTTACATTGAATTGATGAAATAAACATTACCAAGGAATATTTTTACCAAATCATAATCAAATTTTGCCTAGGAGTACAAGTCATTACAGGTCATGCAAATTTGCATAATAAATTTAGCTATACAAGCAAGCTTGACAGACTCATAATGGGTTGGATATGAGAATATTACGAAATCATAGTTTAATGCTTTAGGCAAAGTTCATAGCTAAAAAGTCATTGCTTGCATTCTGGAAGCAACACTGCAAAGTTATCCAAAGCTAGTGGGTATTGAGAAATAGAAGTGGTCATGATCCTGTATGGTTTAGCCTAGCTAGAACGATGTGCCCCTCCCTGTTCCATGGACATTAATCTCATTTATATGCCCAGTTGATACTAGGAGAATATTTAACTTATGTGATGTACACAGAGCACACTTTCCAGAATGGTGGAGGAAGGCAATTTGTGAATAGGTGACCATAACTCCTTTGGTAAAATTAGTGTTCCGAATTACATTTTGTTGATCAGCTTTACACAAAGTGCAATAAATCAGAAGTGTCAATACTTTATCAGGCTGTATGGAAACTATGACTTTAAGTGGGTTAAATTAACAGATTCAACCCATCTAGACACAAACATGGCGACTGTATTAAAACTATGCGCCATGGAAGGTTTTATATGGCTGGTTTAAGCACTATAATAAAAACTAAAAAACCACCAAAAAAAATAAAAATATACTAAAAATAATAAAATAGGGCTCTGAGCAAAGTCTGTTAATCAACATATATGGTGTGTCCAGGAAAAAAAATAAAAATAAAAAAAATTTACAAATAAAGTTGAACTAGTATCCCTATCTAGTGCCAGACTCTTGACACCATAACTATCATAATGAGCTCAAAGTGTCTCTAAGAAATCTCTAGACGTTTTCTTAATGAATAACTGAAAGGGATACAACCACACACTTAAACCTATATAAAAACAGTTTAAATGGCCAGTGTTACATTTGGTTGCCATGCTCTTCTTTGCACTCACAATGCTGAGCAGTTACTTTGTCCTTAAAGTCCAAAATATGTTATTTCCACCTAGTGTCACCACACCCATCACCAACCTGCAACATAGCTTGCTAAACTGGTTGAAACTTTAAAAGACAAAGCAGATTATGAAATAATTACTTACAACAGGTTTAATCCCCCACCTCCCCTTTAAACTAAAAAAAAAAAAAATAAATAAAAAAAATAATAGGGTGGGAGATATACATCACAAAGCAGTTCGGTTAAATAAAATCGCTTTAGAAAATGTTTAATTATGAACATTCAATAGAAAATGTATGTAGTATAGGTATTAAAAAGGGAGGACGTGGCAAAAAAAAAAAAAACACGGTAAATAGGTTTAGTTTGCAGAGTACAAAAGGGTTTTTTTTGTTTTTTTTTTTTCCCCAGTGACTCAGTTATTCTACATTCAGTTGTGTTGGAAACAAAAAGGGAGTGTTACTGTAACCATTTAACCACACCCTATCATCGTATACTGTTCTAAAGATTTCACAAACATTTTCTTTGTCCTCTTAAAAGCTATAGTACACCCCCCCAAAAAAAACCAAAGTTATAAAGAAGAAAATTAAAAAAAAAAAAAAAGTTTGAAACAGCAAAATCCAAAACCTTTTGCAAAACACAAAAGTACAAATTTAAGATTTATTTTTTTTTTTTTTAATCACCAGTTTCTATAACTAACTGCAGCATTCCCTTTTTGCAGAGTGACAATCTAGCTGCTAACAGTACCCGGGCGATGTGCTACATAACAAGAATACCTACCTACCTTTAGGTTATTAAGGAAGAGACACTTGTGTTATATGGACTGGAGACTGGAAAGAGCTGAAAACTCTGCTTCTGACTTTTATGAAGAGGTTGACAAACCACACCTAGCAACAAGCACATACCTCTAGACTTGCAGTGATTGGTTGGCAAGCTCGTTTATGCACTAACAGGCTCAGTCCAAGTACTGATTTTCTGGCACATTCACCCATAAAACATTGCCAGATGAAACAACACTGTTAAAGCGGAAGCATCACTGTAGTTTTAAATTTTATTTTTTGTAAACGGCATTTCATTGTTTTGAATAGTTCTGCTTTGGGACAGTTGTAGTATTTAAGTGATTTAAAGTAAGAATTTTACTTTGCAGTCTCCAGCTCAGCTCACGCATGTTAAAGCTGCTTATTTCACAATAAAACTAAGGGTCAGCTCCTGTTTCCCTTTATTTTCATGTCTCGCTTTGCTCAATATCCTACAGACACACATTTCGTGCGTTGTATTAAACAGCCCAGTGTTTGCGTAATTAAAGTGAATCTGTCATTTTTGCAGGTCAGGATTAACAAAGAGACTGATAGAGCTGGAAGCCCAGGTATATTCCCATGAAATTGGCCCAAAGATAAAAAAGGCTTTTTCCCTGCTAGCTGCTCGTGTGGCATTGAGGAAGGGTCAGCTCACATGAAGGAGTTAGCTTTTTGCTCCATTACAATATGTGACTAAATGGCAAGTCAATCCTGTACTCCCCACCACCTTTTCGTACCAGAGGAGGAGGAAAACTTTTTGTATCAACTAACAGCCAGTAGATAAAGTCAGGTCAGGTTTTCACCTATCAGCATTAGAAATGTAAAGCAGAAACCACAACTAGACACCTGGGTTTAATATTAGGCTTATTGATAGGGTGTTTTGCTTAGATCTGTTTTTTTTTTTATTTTTTTTAGGAGCAGTGTCTATTGCAGTCATTGGAAAGCATGAATCACCGACCACTGCACTTCCCCCACTGAGATCACACTCACAAGACCCATTCCTCCTAAACAGAGAGGATTAGATTTGGAATTTGGCAAAATCATAGGTCTATGAAAACCCCTGTATACTCTCTCTCACAATTTGAATTTAATTGTAATTAGCTAATTAAACCTTTTGACCTCTGTGTAATATGCTGGATATCAACTTGACATTCAAGTTTTTTTCTTTCTAATTCTTTAATATTGGGCCGCTCAAGTGTAATTTGGGGGAATGTGATTGTAGAGATATGAAAATCTAGCAGTGAATATTCACTGTCATTCTGTTAGGCAGCACTGCACTCTAATTTTGTTTGGGTTTATTTCTTGTTCCTCTAAGTACTATAAAGTAAGCAGCATCACTTATTTACAGTGCACCTTTATTATTAAATTACTCTAATTTAATATTGCCTCTCTTTTGCACCAATTGCCATAGACACGATTAAGCAATAAAATATACTTGTATGCAGACAGCAGACATAGTTAAAATTCTAAATCTTTATTTCTATCTAATAAATCTTATATTTTTTTATTGTGATTTGTCCTCTTTTACACTGTGGCTGTTTCTGTTGGTGACATGCTTTAGTAATCAAGAGAAATAAAGATTCTGTGTTTTTACTACATGTGCTGTCTGCATTCAAGTGGTCTTGATTGCTTAATCGTGCATGTTTGTATAACTCAAGCTTTTCTTCCAGTTTGGGGCTGAGACCTGCGACCAAGTGTATTTAAGTGTTACAGAGTGCTAAATATTTATTTTGAGTTGTTTTTCTTTTTTTCACTTCTTATAATTATAATAGCCTCTAACTAGTGTCTTAGCACTTATGTAATGACGTTCCAAAGACTGTGCGTGAGTAATGACCAGGGCCGGACTGGGAAATAAAAGCAGCCCTGGAAAAAAAATATTTACCAGCCCCATAATGCGTTGGGTGTGTGTGGGTGTGGGGGCGTGTAGTGTGTGAATGTGTAGCGTGTGTGGGGCAATGTGTGGATGGGGGGGAAGTGTGTGAATGTGTATGGTGTGTGTTTGTGGGGGCAGTGTGTGTATGGGGCTAGAGTTCAGGAATCCTGGTGGTCGCAGTGGTGAAAGTGAACTCTAACCCGTAGCTCCAGGGCTAGATTTCACCCTCGTGAGAGCCGGAGCGGTGCCGTGGTAACTGCTGCAACGCTCTGTGCTTGCGCTAGAAGGACCCAGAGGAGCTGCAGGCTGAGCTCCTGGGTCCTCTCTTCCTGCCTCCCTCGTGGGGGGATGTAATTGCCCCATGGGGGGGTAATTGCCCGTTGCCCCCCACCCACCAGTGATATATACAGCCCCTATGTGTGTCTCTTTTTATCTTCAGACCCTCTGTGTGCCTTTTTGTCTCCCCCAGTCCCTCTGTATGTTTCTTTCTCCCACTCACTGCTCCTCTGTGTCAATGTCTCCCCTCTCCTTCCCAGTCTCTCTCTTCCCCCTCTGCCTCTTTCTCCCCCTGCCCTTTTGTGTCTCTCTCCTTTCTCCCTCTTTGTCTCTCTCTTCTCCTGTCTCTTTCTCCCCCCTTTCCCTGTGTCTCTCCCTCCTCCACATCTCACTTTTCCCCTCTGTCTCTTTCTCCTCCCTCCACCATCTCTCTATTCCTCCTCTTTCTCCCCCTGTGTCTCACTCTTCCCCCTCTGTCTCTTTCTCACTACTTCCCCTGTGTCTATTCCCCTCTCTGTTTTATTCCCCCCCCCCATTTACCTAGAGAAGTCAGGGGGGGGCGGCCGCATTCCAGGCTGGAGCCGCCAGGCCGGGTGGCAGCCTCGCCGGTCTGGCGGAACTCCAGTCACTGATGCTGAGGGCTGAAGGAGGAGGGAGGAGCATGTCTCTCTACCATGCTCCCTTGCGGTTCCCACAATTCCCAGCACAGCATACTGATACAGCGTAATGTGCTGGGGATTGTGGGAACCACGAGGGAGCATGGTAGATAGACCCGGCCCAGCGGCTCCAGCTTGGAAGGCGGCCGGGCCCCTCTGAGTGTGCCACCGGACCGGCCACCTGGTGGCACCAATGTGGGCCGTAGCATCTGGGGGCTGCGCTGCACATATAGGTGCCACCGGGTGGCCGGTCTGGTGGCACACTCAGAGGGGGGCGGCCGCCTTCCAAGCTGGAGCCGCCGGGCCGGGTCTATCTACCATGCTCCCTCGCGGTTCCCACAATTCCCAGCACATTATGCTGTATCAGTATGCTGTGCTGGGAAATTTCCCGGTATCCTGGTGGCCAGTCCGGCCCTGGTAATGGTACCTTTTGGAGTGCAAACAGTATGGCATATCGTGAACATAAATGATTGTTGATCATTTCCTCCCTTAGTGCCCAATTCCTTAATTTTCACCAACTTCCTATTTGGGTTGAATGATATGTAAACTGTGGGGCAGTGAATGAAGTTGTCAACAGAAGTGTAGTCACTGGAGATTAACGCAAACCGTTCACTTCTGATTTATTTTATTGTTATTTGCTTATAGATTATCACATTAAAATACTGTATGTGAAACAAGAAACCTAGAGTATGTGTTTAGTTTATATGCATGTGCACATCTCATATCCACATTACTGCTTACAAGGCAAATGCAAGCACATGTTTATGCTTGCTTTCTGCTTTCTTACACATTTTTCATCTCTTCTGAAGAGGAAATTATAGCCTATCTTTTGAAATTATTTGTTATTATAAATCTCGGCTTCATCTCCTACATACCATATGCATATGTGAAATCTTAAAAAGATAAAAATAACAAAAGTGCTCCTAAAGAGGGGTTATGTGCTGTTGGTGTCACCTGCAAACCTGCATGGGGGAATTAGGGAGGAGTGTGATTGTGTGCGACTGATTTTGTGACTGTGTGTGACTGTGTGACTATGTGACTGTGTGTCACTGTATGTGAATATATGTGACTGTACAACTTGGCATGTGATTATGTTTGACTGTATGTGACTTAATGCATTTGTGTGATGTAGTACATCTGTGTGTGTATTTGACTGTTAGTCTAGGTATATGTATGTAAAAGTAACTGTGTGTGTGTACAATTGTAACAATATATGCTATGACATGTGTTAGTGTGTTTGTGACTCAGCATGTGTTTGTGTGTGTCTGTATTCATGTTTTATGTCTCAATAGGGGCCGGTCAGTTGCTATGGCCCTTTGACAATGTGACCATGTCCCTTCAATGTTTGCAAAGAATGCTGTGAGGAAGTCCCAGCTTAGAGACTGCGTGGGTTGGGAGGACCAAGGCACTGAGAAGGGAGGACAGAGCACTGCGTACCAGAGGCACTGAGAAGGGAGGAGGGAGCACTAAAGCTTCAGACTCTCATCAGAGGCAGATAGCCCCAGGAAGTCAAAATTTATGGAAACAGGGGGTGGTTAATAATATATACATTGCTTAGGGATGTGCAAGGGAAAAATATTCGGTTTGGTTCAGAATTCGGGACTTTGGAACTTCAGGACTTCAGGTAAGTGTAGGGTTAGGGTAGGGGCCGGTGTCCGAATTTCCGAATGTTCGATATTTCCGAAATTCGTTCGAATTTGCATTCAGAACAAAACGAATTGCACATGTCTAACATTGCAATTTGTATGTGCTAGTGTGTATGTTTAGGTATGTTTGTGCATCTGTGTGCCAGTGTGTGTGTGTGTGCCAGTGTGTATGTGCAGGTATGTTTATCTATGTATGTGTCAGTGTGTATTTTTGTGAGAATGTGTATGCCAGTGTGCATCTCTGTGTGTGCCAGTGTGTATATGAGTGTGTATGTGTGTGCCAGTGTGTGTGTATTTGTAGGTATGTGAGTTTATCTGACTCTGTGCCAGTGAGTGTATGTGTGTATCTGTGTGTGTGACAGTCTGTATCTGTTTGTGTGTGCCAGTGTGTATCTGTTTATATGCCAGTGTGTATGTGTAGGTAGGTGTATTTCAGTGTATATGTGGGTTTTCCAGTGTGTTTATATGTGTGTGCCAGTGTTTATCTGTTTGTGTGTGCCAGTGTGTTTATGTGTGGGTATCTGAGTGTTTGCCAGTGTGTATATGAGTGTGTATATATGTGTGTGTATGCAGGTATATATCTATGTGTGTATCTGTTTGTTTGTGTGTAGGTATATATTTGTATATGGGCCAGTGTAGGTGTGTGTGCCTGTGCATATCTGTGTATATGTGCATGTGCCAGTGTGTGTGTAGGTATGTGTATGTGTGTCTGTGTATCTGTGCATGGGTATATATGTGTATGTGTGCTAGTGTGTGTATGTGCCTATGTTTATATCTCTATGTGTGTATCTTTGTGTGTGCTAGTGTATGTGTCTGTGAAGGTATATGTTTGTATCTGAGTGTATATGTGTATCTGTGTGTGCCAGTGTGTGTGTATCTGTGTATGAGTGTGTGTGTCAGTGTGTG